CCGCCACCACCGCCCCGCGGTTAACCTGACTGTTGGTGGAGGGCAGGGAGGTAACGCCGGGATTTCGTTTCTTTTCCACCTACTGGAAATAAATCCCGGATAGGCTCTGCGGGCTGACCCAAATGCCTTTCCGCTCGCCCCCGCCGCGCGTTTAAGAGGCCCTTCTTAAGAAGGGCCAAAGTTGCAGGTTACCAAAGGGAGAGGGGGACGAGAGAGATTGGGGCTGCGTGGAAAATAAAATCAGCCCCGCGGGTAAGAGGAGAGCCGAGGCCACCGCTCCTCGCTGCCCGCCCGGTGGCACGGGGCGGGCCGTGCTGGGCGCCCGAAACCCGGGGATCGGTGCCCGCTCCTCCACCCAGAGCGGAGAGGTTTCTCTCTCTATCGGGCATATCGAGGCTGGCAGGGGAAACCCGTAGACGAAAATCCGGGGCTTGGCGGGACAGAAATACCTCCTCCCCCCACGTGTATTACAGCCCTTTGATTGCGGTTCTTTGTTTTCCTTCCGTGTAATCCGGGGATAATAAAACGATAAAAAATAGCAGCCCGCCCTTTCTCTGCCCTCCCATCCCTGCCTCCCCTTCATTTCTCCGGGCAGCGCCTTTGTCCTTTTGCCCTCTCTGTTTTCTCAGCCCCCCCTCCCTTCCCCGTGCCTCCCCTCGAGGGGTGCATGCCCGGCCGGCGACGCTCCCGCCCGTAGCACCGCACACCCGGCTGCCGGCGCCGCGGGACTCCCCGGAGCGGGGCCACGCCGAAGTAAGAGTTCCCAAACAACCCCCCTTGCCATACCCTGAGGCCATGGGGAGGTCATAAATGGAAGAGAAAACCAGGCGATGTTTCTTGAATAAACTCTGCCCCTGCGTCTTCACCGGCGAGGATTAATTCACTTTTATTAAACCTTTTACCACACTACTTTTTGTCCTGATGTGCCCAGTCTGTGCCTCCTATAACGACCAGTGCCCGGAGAGCATCCCTGCCGGGGTAGAGGCACCTCCAGCCTGGGTATTGCCCGGTACCAAGGGGGAGGGAGACTCCCAGGGCGGTTTGCCACCACCCTGCCTCTGTCTGGGCGCTGCCAGCCTGCCCTGGGGTCTGACAGTCACCCCAAAAGCACCAATTCTGCTGCTGCAGGGCAGGGATACTTGCACTGTGCTGAGCCAGGCAAATCCTTGGGGACCCCATTAAAGTAGCGATGAAGCAACATCTCCAGGGTCACGCTGGGAAGTCTGTGGCAAAACGGGGGCTGAATTAAGCTCTGCTGACTCTCAGCCTGCTCGTTTAGCCACAAGATCGTCCTTCCCTCCTCGTGTACCAGCCCCATGCTTTGAAGTGGTGACTGTGGCTGTGGGCAGTTTATCTGGGGTGGGGTTTTGAGGTAGGCTCTGCTTTGTACCTTTAGTGTATTGCAAAGTGTCTTACCTTAAGAGCCTGTCGATTTGAGGCTAAAAAGATTCCCCATTAGTGGATGAGAAAGTTTCCTCCTTTTCCTGCTGCTGTTCCCCTTTGCTTTGCTGGAAGTGCTCTGGGTCACAGGATCAGGCCCGTGAAGTCTGCAGCTCCGTTTCAGATCCAGTGTGGCCCAAGGAGCCTGTGACTCAGTGGGCAGCACTGCTGATTCACTGGGGCCACGGACCCCCAGTAAGCTGTTGTGGTCTGGGGGAAGATCTCTGGAACAGTGGGGATATAAATCGTGCTGAAGCACAGCGCATTGATCAGAAGAAAGGGTCCTTTGCAGGTCTGTAGCACCGACCTTGCAAATAATGATCCGTAAAACCACCAGAAAAAAAACCTCCTTGAGGTTTCCCCCTCATACTCCTGTTCCCCCTAGGTGTGGGGGAGCTGGGAGGAGGTGTTGTTTACTTAAGGGCTAAGGTGGTCTCGTCTTGGAAGTCACAGTGATGAGATAAGATATGAGCAGGTCACCCCCACCAGGTAACCAAGCATCCTGGGGATCTGGCCCCAGGCAGGGCAGCTAGCGCAGAGCAGTTGCATGCCAAGTTGCATGCCGGGCCCTGTACCTTCCCTCGCTTTCTGGCTTCTAGGGGTTGAGTGTGTCACATCTTTTGTCTGTGTAGGTGCAGTTTCATTCTGGGTGAGCTCAGCCCCAGCAGGGCAAGAGTGGTTGTGTCACAGGGGAAGAAGAGCTTGCAGAAAGATAAAATAGTGGATCCTCCCTTCATGTTGAGAAGGATTCTATTATTTATTGACTAAAACCAAAGTGCAGCCCAGCTCTCTGTGATGAACAATCTAGTATTTGCAGAAATGACCTCAGGGAAGCTAGGTTGAGTGGGGAGGGGGAAGAGAGGAGATTGCTGGAGGACAGGATGAGAAGATGACTCACTGTAAGAACGGCCTGCAAATACCCTGATCCCCAAGGCTTGAATTAACCATTCACCAGCTGCATGCGTTAGCTGCCCCAGAGACATGAGACATGCATATCTGTTTGAACACACATGCTGATGTGGCTGGGGCAGATTTCTGTGCTCATTCAAGAGTAAAAACAACAACATGAGGTGTAAATGGGGGATAATGGCTATTTATATAAACTGGACATATTTTTCCCCGTGCGATGGCAGTGGTTGGGGGGGAGGGGGGAGATAAGGTCAGCTATGCAAAACAAGAGGATTTAAAAGTCCACTCCATGAAGGGCAGTTGGAGGTCTGGAGAGCTGCTTGTGTTTGTTGGCTTTCCACACTGCAAGTTGTTAGGGATAGCATTTTATCAACCCAGTTGTTGTGGGTATCATTTTATCAACCCCTCCTCATGGTCTCCACGGTCACTTGGCTGCTTGACCCACTGCCTCACGCTGTGTGCTCTGGGGCAAGCTGGCTGGGGAGTGGGAGGAAAGGTGCAGGTGCTGAGTGCCAGTTGACTGCAAAGTCACCCTCCCGCCCTCTGTCATGGAAAACAGACTTTCATCACATTCAGTGGGCTTTGGATCGTGCCGGCCGCTTGCAACACGAGGGCCCCATGGCAGGACTGAGTGGGCGACAGTAGCACACATCTGCTCAAACATTGCAAACAAATGAGACACTGGTGTTACAGGGCTGAAATGTCAGAGGTAGCTGTACCAGGCAGCCCTGGCAGCGAGGGCAGCAGGAGCCCTGCGGCCGCTCAGATCTTCAGCGCTTCGTTTCGAAATCCTTCCTTGCACTGGGGCACCCACACTGACACTGCTTATCAGGGCAAAACAGTTGCAGGTGAATGAATTGCATCAGAGGGTTTGCTTTCCGAGCCTTGTTTACTTGAGGGCCACACTCTGAAAGGTTATTGAATCTAGCTGTTTGAGAGCTTTTGCCGTTCATCTTTTTTCTGAAAAAGCACAGGTGGCAGACACGTGGCACACCACTGACATTTCCAGGCTGCTTCTGCTACCTGACTTATTCACATTCATTTTGGAGATTGTGCGCTTCCGTACAGCATATTCCCAGCCTGGAAACACGCAACGATTTAGCTGACGACAAACTTTGAGTAACAATGTAATAATAGGATTAATTCCTTTTCATTAGTGTACTGAATGAAACGAATGCAGTACTTAACCATGCAGAATAGCTCATGTGGGGCTATTCAGCTGTCAAATGCTGTCACAGGACTTCATTAAGTTTTATAGCTGTTATTTAATAGATTGGTTTCAGTGGGACTGTCTTCATTACCTTGCTGTCTTGTGCATTGTGGTGATTAATGACACAGTTGCAAGCATCCCCCTCTTGTGCTTATGTCCATTCAAAAATGCAAATAAAACACTTCTTATGTTGTCATAGCGTATATAGTAGTAACAGATTTAGAGGGGATGACTACTGAGTACAGAAATCTCTGTCTCAAACGCTGGGAATAGTGCTCATATGTAAAACCGGGGGAGGGAGTTTAGTCCCCACTGTACTGGAGTTAACGGTTGCTAGATTCCACAGAATTACATTCACTTAACAGTTTTAATCTGGATTCACCAGCTTTTGGCAAGTTAATAATTGTCAGTGGTATCAGAGGTTTTTCTTCAGGTGCCCGAAGCCTTTTGAACAAACCCGCTTCCCCAGGGGACCGCTATCCCTCACTAACCCCCCAGGGCCCACTGCCATGCGCTATCCCACTGCATTGCAAGTGCCAGAGCTTCATTTCTCCTCCACTTTAATTAAACCAGTTTTTGGAAACACAAACATTCATGTTTGGTTGGTTTTTTTTTTTTTTTTGCCCTTCCCTAGGGGGATATGAAACTTTTAACTCACAATATCCTGAGTGCTGCGTGGATGGAAAACTCATTTCCCCAGAGAGGACCGAGGCAGAGAGAAACCTCACCAGCCACTGTGAGAAGCAGAGTGCTAACCACAAACCCGCTTACGACCAGGTGTGTGACACGGCTGCGGTGGGTGACCTTCCCCTTGGGTCTTCTCCGTCCTGCCACTGGGCTCTATTGGAGGCTGGCAGGGTGCCCAGGGCCCTCGTGCTGGCACGGGCTGTCAGTAAGTTGTCGCAGCTGAGGTTGGCAGCCTGTGTGTTGAATAAGATGCTCTGTGTGTGCTGCTGGTCAGCATCGCTTCTGCCTGGCTTCAAAATTTGGCAGCAGCAGGAGGGAAAAAAACCCTGTCTAGCCCCAAAACTGTATTTGCGACCTGTCTTTATCACACAGCCGGGCAGCATGAGCCATGAGCAGCTCACGCCTCCCCAGGAGACTGAAAACGGGCAGGGGAGAGGCTGCCAGGAATGTCATTTTTCTGGCAGATGAAGGAGCACGCTTTGCCCATGCCTCCTCCGAGAACCCAGGAGGGCTCTGGTGCTGGCGGAGGAGGGCCGGGGCTGTGGGACCGCTTCTGAGAAAAGGCAGTGGCTCTTGAGAGCCACCCTTGGGCAGGGGGAGTGGGGTTTCCATGGGGGAAGTCGTCACGCCCCCACCCAGCCTGGGGAATACGTGTGCTCTGAGATGTCACCCTGTGGTCGGGCCGCTTCCGCCGGGGCGTGTGTTTCCTGGTGCTGGGGGGAGCCCCCAGGCAATGCCCCTCTGTTCCTCCACGAGCGCCTTCCGCCCCAGGCTCCGTCCTGCCACCGCAGGCAGCTTCTGGCTGTCCCTGGTGCGTGAGACCTGCCGGGTGGGCAGCTCGGGGGGCTGGAAAACTGGTTTCTCGCAGCCGGGGGCTGGCAGCGGCTCTTGTGCATCATGGAAAGTTACCTGCGATCTCCAAAACCCTTGTGTCAGGCGGTGGCTTTTTTTTTTGTGGTCTCGTCACCCAGCCTTTGCTTGTGCTGAGGAAGGAGGAACTGAGATGACATCTTGGGGCGGGTGACGTGGTGGGTGCCGTGCCCCAGGGAGGCGTGGGGGGG